AGATACTCTTTTAGCTGGTGGTTTACCTCCAATTTGTTCAACCCAACTTGTGCAACAGTCAGTTTAAATACAAACCACATTGGTATGGTCTGTATTTTAAGGTATTTTATACCTTAAAATGATTAACAGCATCGCACACTTCAAAGTCAAACCCTTAGTTGCTGTTTTTTTTCCCTCATAGAACACTGATACAAAAATAGTGCCTCTAAAATAATGCTGATCAAAGAGATCAACACTCTCAGTATTCTAGAAATACAACAGCAGAAACTGCATGTTTGTTAACTCCAAAGAATAAACAAACAAAAGCTACATGGGTGGCGTAATCTGTAAAGACAGCCTTGAGACTCTGCTATGCGCGTCCTTATTTAATGCTTGGTCTGTATATGACTTGTTGCCATATTTTTAATAAGATTCCATTAAGATCTTTCACGTTGCTGGTTTTGTATGAAGGCTTTGAAATGGCATACTGGTATCAAAACTGTGGTTTAACATGGGAGCCTAACTCTTCCATCAGGGTAGGTCAAGCTGTGTAATGTGGAGCTGAAGTGTTCTTTGGCTCCAGAACTACAAGCACGTATTCCCACCAAAAGAAGATCCGCTTACAGAAAGTTTGTCACGTGACTAGATGTGATGCAGAACCAAAGAAAAACTGATTCAGTTGCTCTAAGCCATCCTGTATTTTAAACCTTTTCTTATCTTGTGTGTGGGTAATAGTTCCATTCTTTTCACTCTTTTTTCACTTTTGGAAATTCTCATGCCCACCTTAAAAAATCCTCTTTAGTTCTGCATCAATCTTCTTTACTAGCTGCACAATCACAACCTAGATGTGGTTTCACTATCGGTATATGTAATGGCGTGTTTTCTGTTGATTCTGTAACAGAACACCACTCAAAAAATGTTGAAGCACATTAAATAAAGGACATTACATAGCTATACTGGCCTTAACAGCTTGTTAACCTGATGAAGAAGATTAAAAAAAGAGTTCCTATTCAACAGCATCCTAACATCAATGGATTATTTTATTTTCTATATCACAGGGGGATCCATTTCCTGAAAGCTCACCTTGTAGTGAGGCAGCATTATTCTCTGTGGATCACCTGCTTCACCTCTAAAATTCCCTCCTGCTAAGAAATCATTGCTTTACACTTAACAATAATGAATTTTATTTTTAGTAACATTACCCATTCATGAAATATAATCCGCTTTTCTTACCCAACATAGATCTGCAATTAACCAATCTCTGGCTGAGGCCTTTACCGCCAATCAAAAATTAGAGAGTTATGCCATGACTGGAGCAAGTTACGTAACTACAAGGAGTGCCGAGCATCTCGCTCCTTGTCAGCCTTCATTAAATATCAACACCAATCAAGAGACAGCGAAGAAAAAGTATCCAATCAATAATCCAGAAAAAGGCAGGAGTCCAAAGATGGTATTATGATTGCCTTTCTCTTTCCATTAAGAAAGAAAAACCAAATATTCTTCAGCTCCCCACAGCTGCTGAAAGAATACAAAGATATACACACGCTGCAAGTGGTTGCCGGTTTTCCTTTTTTATTTGAAAAAGATGCGTTCACACCCGTTTAGCTAAAACACAGGATCCCAAACTTTCTGGGCCACCAGATCACTACCAACGCTCAGGCTTCCTGGCTGGCCACCCGGACTCAGTGGATCCGAGTAGTTTATAGATGTGATCTTTTCCTGTACCGCTCTGCAAGCGGCCTTCTGGGCCCCGACTATTACGTCCTCACCCATAAGGCACATGCATACCTGGGCAGCGCTGCAGCCCTCCAGCCAGCCGGGCGGGCGGGC